ATTTGAGAAAAATCTTACTTTTTTTATGTTGTGACAAAAAAAAACCTACCGGCACAAAAATTGCAGCTGACAAAAGCTAACTATACTTTGGTCTCTGCATCAAACTAATACATTTGCTTCAGGGGCGGATTTATGGGGGGACGCCCCCCCCCCCCTCAGGGATTCGACCCCTGCCGACTCAAATGGTCCCCCTTTGGTACTTTTAATAAATCCATTTTTGGACGACCGACCCTAAAATTTTTCTAAAGGCGCCTTTGGCGCCAATATATACTAATTTTGAGAAAAATCTTACTTTTTTTATGTTGTGACAAAAAAAAACCTACCGGCACAAAAAATTGCAGCTGACAAAAGCTAACTATACTTTGGTCTCTGCATCAAACTAATACATTTGCTTCAGGGGCGGATTTATGGGGGGCGGAGCCCCCCCCCCCTCCTCAGGGATTCGACCCCCTGCCGACTCAAAGGGTCCCAAAGTACCCCCTTTGGTCCTTCTTTTTGAAATCCATTTTTGGCCGGACCGACCCTTAAAATTTTCTCAAGGCGCCGTTGGCGCCAATATATACTAATTTTAAGGGGGGAGCGCGCGCCTAAAAAACGCAATTTTTTGGTCAAAATTTTTCAAAAATTGCCTAAAAACGCAGAAAATTTGGCCAAAACAGGGACTAAACAGTGCTTAGGGAGAGCTCAAAAAAATCAATTCGGTCAACCTAAAAAAAGGTCGACAAATTTTCGATTTTTTTTTAAAATCCCCCCCTCGAGAAAATCCTAGATCCGCCACTGATTTGCTTTGTGAATTGATAACCAATTAGCGTCTAATTTTAGACAGTTTTGTTCAAATTTTGTTCAAAAATAATTATCCGCACTGTCGAATGGAAGTATTTCAGGAAACTGGAGATGCAGAAAATCGGCTGGCACGCCATCACCATGATCAGGTCAACCACTGCAAGTTCACCAAAAACAGATTCTGCGGAGTGCGAAGTGACTTGGTCCTGAAATAAATCGAAACTCAGAAAATACTTCAAAAAACTTTCTCTAAAATCGAATCATTTCACAAACCATTTTAAGTTGAATACTTTTTGAGTACAATTTTTATGCAAAACGTATCAGTTTCGCTCAATCATATTTATATTTATTCATCATTGTTCATCACTGTATATCTAGTGAAAAAAAAAATAATTTTTTGCTGATCATGGTCCCAAATGGCTTAAGTTCTGAGGGTGAGGGTCTAAAACTAATATCAATACAATTCTTACGAGAGGAATATGTGAATAGTGATGCCATTGCCATGGACTCCCAGATAGATTAGTATCATGAGAATGCTGCCTATCAAGTTGTGCACCCAGTTGGGAAGTGGCTCGTAGAAGGAGTGTTTCCAGCTCTCCTCTTCTCCGTCCACAGATAAGTCCGGAACCACACTCAAACCAATTCCCATGAAGGATTCATTCAAGTTCTCAGACATGTTAACACGAAACTTGTGTTGTTCCGATGACAAATCCAATGTGCAACTTCTATTATAAATCTGATAACTGCCTCAGTTTTTAGTGATGCTTAAGCTGCAAAATGTGGCTCGATGTTTTCCCCAAGGATGTAAAAAGATGGAGTTTACTGCAACAATAAGCAGAGGTGTGCAAGATTTTGAAAACTTAAAATGGTCAAAAGTTTGAGTGATAGATAGCTTAGGGATAATTGAGGGCTATTTGGAATAAAATTACGAAGGAAAGAGATAAAAACTGAATAGTTGGGTATCAATTTTTCTAAAAATTATTTGAATTTAGGACAGGCTTAGTTCCAGCGGAGAAAAAAAGAGAATGTATGATTTTTTTCTGACTCTTTCATTACTTTGAACACAGTCTTTTTCAGAGGAACTGCCTTCGGAAAAAAATTTGCCGCCCTGAGCTTTGTTTACTCTCGTTGAAAAAGCGATGACCGAGTTCAATCAGCGGCGTGAAAAAAATCATATATCAAAAGCCAAGTGATGTTTTCCATTTGCTAAAAATATTTCGATTGCAATCAAAGATATTGGAAATGTTTTATACAAGAAAGTGGGCGCAAACATAGCACACAAAGCTTTAAATTATTTTCATGAATGATCAAACGGGTAACTGCGCTTGAAACAGCCGAAGCATTGAAAAACAATACCCCTTTTTTCTTATAGTCTTCTCTAATGAAACCGAAATAAGTAACCAAAGGTGTCGCGCAATCAGGAAAAAATATCAACAGGTTAGAAAAAATCATCTATGACCTCAAACCACAAGAAAAAGGCAAAGTCAATCGCACCCTCGAGACTCTCTGCTTGCTTTGACGATTACATTAAACATCACCAAAGACTTTTGAATAGTTCACACCTAATATTTGATGAGTTCAACCAATCAACTTATGGATTCACTCAATTAGCTGATGAATATACTTGCTAAATAATTGCCTTTTGTCGAATCCTGCCAAAAACTAAATCTAAATTCTTTAAGCAGCTTGATTCAAAATAACTGAATTGGTAAAGAAAATGGACAATTATTTTCGAACAGAACAAGATTTTTCGTATCAGGGCGAAGCCCTGAATGTTTCGACTGCCTTTTAAGGTCTATGGAGCAAAAAATAACCTGAAAAAATTTAAGGTAATAAAATATAATGAAAAAAAAATTTCCACTTAGAGATTTTTTTGATTATCATCCCCCGCACGCCAAATAAAGTACAAGTGATAGAATTGGCTACTAGTAACAAAACAATTATGGCAAAAAAGTTTCCTTTAACCAATTTGAAACAATTTCTAGGACAATTAAATCTCCGCTTACGCGTTAATAGCGCAAAATAGATAGCATGTTAATTGTCCCAAATTGGCCAAAATGGCAATATTCAAACCCCCATAACTTTACAAAAAATAACCACAGGTGAAATATCTTTTCAGATTTAAGCTCAAGACAACAATATTTTTGAATGTTTTATAAAAGGTTTGTCAAAAATGGCTAGTTGAAAAGTCAAAATTTGTCTGAAGAAAAAAAAACCCACCCCGATCACAAATATTCCGTTAATTTCATTTTGAAAATCGGAACAACAAGACGAAATTTTAAAGTTTTTGTAGGTATTTTCTTACATGCAAGGCGCAAATGGTATATTTTTTCACACGTAAGGATATTTTTATCCTCTAGTAACAAGTTATTCTGAAAAACTTAGTTGTCTTTTTCAGTTTGCAATTATTTAGAGCGCCAAAATACCCTACGCGTTAATAGTAAACTAGCATTAGGGCGTTCAAATGTTCAAAATGTTTTGGATTTCAAATTTGGTAGTTATCAAAACACTCAGAGTTTAGCAAAGATGAATCATTTTTCTTCGTTCGGTTGTTCTAAAAATATTCGTCAACAATAGCTTACAAAAAAATGATCAGTACAAAAAAAAACAACCCAAACAAATATCTTCCATCACTTTCTTCAAAAGTCGGTACAACAAGGCTTTTTGTATCAAGGCGGACCGCCCATTTGTTTCTTGCTCTTTGATGAGTTTTTGATCCAACTTTCGTAACGAAAGTAACGGAATATTTGTGCTCGGGGCGGACTTTTTTCTTCAGAAAAACTTCGACCTTTTAACTAGCCATTTTTGACGTAATTCAAAAAGTGTTGTTGTCTTGAGCTTAATTTTGAAAATATATTTTACCTGTGATCACTTTTGTAAAGTTATGGGGGTTTCAAGATTGCCATTTCGGCCAATTTGGGACATTAACATGCGATATATTTCGCGCAATTAATGCGTAAGCGGAGATTTAATCCGTCGTAGAAATCGTTCCAAACTCCTTGAAGGAAACTTTTTCGCCAGGATTGATTTGTTACCAGGAGCGAAGTCTATCACTTTGTACTTTATATGGCGGGTGGGAGGATGATTTTCAAGAAAAATCTCAAATTTCAAATTTCTTTTTCCAATTTATTTTATTACATTAAATTTTTTCATGTTATTACTGGTCCATAGACCTTAAAAGGCAGTCGGAATATTTAGGGCTTCGCCCCGATACGAACAGTCTTGTTTATGTATGTTTTGGTAAATTTAACAGAATGGATTTTGATTCTGCAAAATCTCCGCCTGCAATGATTAAAAGAAAATGGCACGTTTTTCATCTAGCAACGCGTCGTTTGAACCAATTACTTAATTTTTTTCATCATATAATCGATTTGTTTTAGAAAAAAAATTTTTATAATAGTTTATGATTAATTTTGATGTACTAGAAAAATAGTTTTTTTTTGGAAGTGAAATGATTGTTTCTGTCAAGTTACTATTAAGCGAGTTTTCAAGGAAAACTTTCAGAGGGTTACAATTAGATTGAACGAAAAAGTTCAAGTTTTATTTATTTAACGAGAAGACTTTTGAAGCTCTTAAAGTTTTATTGGGCATAAATTTATGATATAAAACGTTGTGTGGCAGGCGAAATTCCAATCAACAAAAAGTTTGAAGAGCTTAAATTTCAGGAAGATGGGGTCTGTGAAGAATTGATTTTGTATTAAGGGAGGGGGTTTTGTCACTGCCTGTATAATTCAACCCATTTGACAACTTAAGGGCCCCTTGATAATAGTTTTCAAGTTCACAACTTATTCACTTTAAAAAAAATCCGTTCACCAGTATTTGAAAGTTACAAGATTTAGTTGTTATTTATTATTATACACTTTCATACATATTTTCATAGGTGCAATTTCTTCTTAATTGAGGAGTGCAGTGCAGTAATATCTTTCAATTGCTATTGAAACTTCAAAAGAAAGTACTGAGAGATAGTTTTCCCTTTTTGAACATTGTTTTTGATAGGAGCTTTTTTTGTTAAAATCTTCATTAAGCTTCAGATTTTAAATTTTTTATCAACAACACAGAACTTTTAAAGGATGAAATCTATAAATTTTTTTGGTGGGAGGCGGACTCTCAAAAAGTTTTCGAAAATTTTGTCGACCTTTATTTAAGGTCGAGCACATTGAATAAGCAAGCTCTCCCAAATTACTATGAAGACCATATTTTGGTCAAAATTTCTGCGCAGCAAGCAAATTTCTAAAAAAAAATAGCCAAAGAGCGTGCGCTTTTTGGAAAATATGACCAGGTAACTGCGTTTTTTTGGCGCGCGCTCCTCCTCAAAGTTAGTGTATATTAGCGTCAACGGCGCCTTTTCGAAAAATTTAGGTTCAGCCGCCCAAAATAATTGTTCTAGTTGAAATTCCCTTACCCGCCCTAAACCCGCTACTGTTTAGAAATTTAAGTGGTTTCAAGAGTTTTTTTGTCAACTTGAATATAATTTGCTTAATCTCAATTCTTTTAGGTAATTGTTTTTGTTAAAATTCTTAATAATTATTCATTGTTTCTCTACAATTTGCATTAATGAATCCAGATTATCTATCTAAAAGAGAAAGTAAGCAGATAGATTTGAATTAGGGTTGGGCTAGAGTAAAATTTTTTATGTAAGTTTTCTAAAATGTGTTTGGACTTTTTAGAAAGCTCGAATTAAGTTTTGAGAGCTCTTTCAGAAGAATTCTTTTTTAGTTCAATTTAGTTTAAAAACAACTAGCTCAAGCGATTTGACCACCAACCTCGCTGCTGCTAAATGTCAGTTTATGGGAACCATTCAATTTTGGATCTGAGCTCCAGTTTAGTTCCGAACTTGGATGTAGAAGAGGTGGATGATAGCTGGAAGGAGTCTTTCTATGAACCACTTCCAGACTGGGTGCACAATGTAATAGGAGTCCTTTTGGTCATCAACATATATCTTGGGTTCCATGGCAACGGCATCACTATCCACATATTCCTCTCGTAAGACACTCAAAGCATCTTTATGGACAAGCAAGCGAATTTGAGGTTTAGTTTGCAGAATTTGTATGTCTGGCGTAGATTTCATTTTCCTGGGACATATTTGGTGAAGAGTTTTGAAGTATTAGTCGCCTCTAACTTATTTCTGGTCTGCGTTTTGTTTCACTTACATCATTTACTTTTTGTCAGCCGAAACTTTTCGGTCAGTTGTATTATAACATTTTTGATAACTGTAATCAAAAGGCAACTTTAAGCCTCATCGTCAGTAGTTAAACTTCATTACTTTTTTCATTTATCGATTTGTGATATTAAAATGTTATATTTGGACACAACTTTTCGAAAATATAAAAAATTTATTTTTAGATAAATCCAAACAGTTTTTGCTGGAAGAATGGTGACTATCTCTAGCTAACGTAATTAATTTAAGAAGATAAAAAATAGCGAATTACACAAAATGCAAATAAAATCCAAATAGTTTGCGAAATGACACCAATAAACATTAATAAGGTATATGCCAATATTAAAAAATCAGCCAATATTATTAGTTTTAAGGAGTTAACGCTTTTAAAAAATCTTCTCCAGAAACTTAACGAAAGTAGTTTTTTTGTAGGTTTTTAGCAGAACTATTAAAGTCAAAGTTTGAATACAGACAAAGCTTTCGCACTACCTGAGATCCCCGTTGAAAAAATACTCCGCGCAGCATTGAAGAATTCAAGTATTTGTTACCAAAGTTGCGTTTGAGTCATCAATTCAGCTTTCCTATTTCTTTCAAAGATTTTCGCCTTAACTTTTCAAAAATTTCATATCTCAGAAAGGCGTTTTTAGGCACTTTTTGGAAAATTTCGACTAAAAAATTGCGTTTTTTCGGCGCGCGCTCCCCCTTAAAATCAGTACAGATTGGCGCCAAAGGCGCCTTTAGAAAAACTTTTAAGTCAGTCAGCCAACAATGGTTATCTCAAAATAGTACAAAGGTTAGCTTTGGGTCGGCAGGGGGTCGAACCCCTGAGGAAGAGCGTCCCCCCCCCGAAATCCGCTACTGTCTGATGAGATCACTCTTTGAATGAAACTTTAGACAAGTGGGAATTCAATTGGATCCTTCAGTGCAGCGCCTTGATATAGGATAGCAACGCTTTACAATAATTAAAAGTAGATTCGGAGTACATACAAAAGAAAGGAATCGTCAGTTTCTTGGCAGACAAAGCGGTGAACTGAAATGATCAATAGAGTTGAGTTCTGTATTTTACACTGATAGAATTGGAAATTCGGAGTGAAACTCTTTTCTACGAAATGAATTCGGATTTCGGATCTAATAAGTAGATTTTAAAGGAAACTTTTAATACCCCAAACCCGCTGAAGGTTTCGAATCTTTGAAACTCAAATGTAGAAAAACACTTCGTAATAATTCCGAGAAGACTCAAATTATGACACTTAGTAATTGATATTTTTGTATGGGGCTTGAAATTCAATCAGAATTTGTTTTTTTTTCTAAGTTCTTAAGCGCCTCGCCTCAATTGAGTTAATTTGACAAAATTTAATGAAAAAATATGTTCAGTCTTTTACAAAAGTAAATGGAAAGTAAATTTTGACTATACTATTTTACATTTTATATTTTTAATATAATTTAATATATTTTATATAACTTATTTTAGAACCAAGTCCTTGCGCACCCCTCAGAACTTGTTTCTAGTTAATCTGGCGGTGGTGGATTTTATCATGGTGATGGCATGTCAGCCTGAATTCTGCATCTCAAGTTTCCTCAGATACCATCCATTTGGCTGTGAGTAACTACCGTTCAAAAAAAATTTCGCATTGCTCCTTTATGTTTATTGCAGATAGTTTGAATAATTCTATCTTCAGATCTTCATATATTTTTTTAAAATGACATTATCGAAATTAGTTTTTATGACTTTTAGATATTTGAGGGCGTGAGCAAAGCTCTGAATGGTGCCAACTAGTATGAATAAGAATTCTTACAAACAATCAACCAATCCTATTGCAGCACCCGGATTGACCTCCATAGACAAAAAGGCTAATCATACAATTTCAGAAAAATAAATTAGAAAAACTTTATAATTTTATAATTGTTTGACTAGCATTTTTTGTGTCAGCAAAAAAAAATTCTAAGTTGTTTCCAAATTGCTTCAAAACATAATGTTTTTGACCCGTTATCAATTATGGTATATAAGCTTTCTTGAACCAATTTGGAACGATTTCTAAAGGCGGATTAAATCTCCACTTACGCGTTAGTGGCGCGAAATATATCGCGCGTTAATTGTTCCAAATTGGTCAAAATGACAATCTTTAAACCCCCATAATTTTACGAAAAATGGTCACAGGTGAAATATCTCTTCAAATTCAAGCTCAGGACAACAATAGCTTTTGAATGATATGGTTAGTTAAAAAGTCGAAATTTGTCTGAAGAAAAAAAACCCACCCGAGCACAAATATTCCGTTACTTTCGTATCGAAAGTCGGAACAATAATGTAATTTTGACTTATGGTTGATGAAATTAAATCAGAGGCTCCTGGACAAACAAAAATTGACAATTCTTTTGTTTTGGAGGTGTTATTTAAAAATTTAATCATAACTTGTGATTTGCATTGTTTGAACACATTTCCAAAAACTACAGAGAATTCAAACTTCAAGGGCTTAATTATTTTTTATTGAAAGCTGTTGAGCGTAGTTTTTGCTTAATACAGCAAAAAATGACAAAGAAAATTGGTAAAAATGAGCAAGGCCTGGCATCAGAAGTCTGTAATCCTGAACGCTTTTGCGCTATTGGTTAATAAAAGCAACATAAACTTATTTGATCAAATTTTCCTAGTAAAAAAAATTAGCCCGGCTGATGGATAAGAATATGATAAGTAAGTGAGCTAATTTTAATTTGCAATTCATTTTGGTACAATTTTACAACTTGGCAAATGAATTAAAAAACAAAAAGTAGAAAAAAAGACTATTCTGAAGGAAAAGCTGTAGTGCATAAATGATTTACACTCACTGTTGTCGAAAAAAATTATACAAGCAAGCGGCAATATACGAGCGGCAAAATTAGCGGTCAATTAGCGTCTCCAAAACTCATTTTTCGATTTTTGAACCATCTATTTTTCATGAACCACTTCTGTTTTGAACAAATCTTGATAAAAAACTCGAATTTTTATTTATTTCCTCGGTTGAATACAATGTCTTTTTTTCCAATGAGTGTAACTTTTACTTTTTTATCGGATGTCGCTTGCCCTACTAGGGGCAGTGAATGGGAAGAACCGTTCACTAATAGAACAAGACTGCTCGTATCAGGGCGAATGTTCCGACTGCTTTTGAAGGTTTATGGAGCAGCAGTAATAGCATAAAAACATTCTATGAAATAAAATGAAATGAAAAAAATTTTTCCTAAAATTTGAATTTTTTTATGAAAATCATCCCCCACGCGCCATATAAAGTACAAAAAGATAGTTTTCGTTCCTGTAACACATCAATTATGGCAAATAAGCTTCGTTCAACCAATTTGGAACGATTTATAAGACGGATTAAATCTCCGCTTACGCGTTAATAGCGCGAATTATATCGCGCGTTAATTGTCCCAAATTGGTCAAAATGGCCAAAATGGCAATCTTTAAACCCTCATAACTTTACGAAAAATGATCACAGGTGAAATATCTTTTCAAATTTAGGCTCAGGACAACAATACTTTTTGAATGATAAAAAAAAATTCTCTCAAAAATGGCTAGTTAAAAAGTCGAAATTTGTCTGAAGAAAAAAAAACCCACCCCGAGCACAAATATTCCGTTACTTTCGTATCGAAAGTCGGAACAATAAATATCAATGGTTTGTTAATCCTGGATTCAATTTTAGCTTGCTACATATTTGGTACCGTGGCCACTTTCGGTGGTCTGTGTTCCATCAACTCTATGGCGGCTATTGCTTATGACAGATACATAATGATCTGCTCTCCTCCTGAGAAGATGACCACGCCCACCATGAAGAGATCTCTCAGTATAATTGCCTGTGTGTGGGCATACAATCTCATATTCGCCATTCTGCCCAATGTGGGTATAGGTGGTTTCTATCTGAATGGTGAGTAGAAAATGGAACAAGTAACTTCCAAGTTGTAAGTTCGATTTATATTTTTTATTATCTTTTCAGTCAAGTTTTCTTCCGAGATAACAAACATTCTGCTATAACTGTTCCTATGATACATTCTGCTATTATGTTTAAGCTGAAATGAACACTGTTCTTTGGTACTGAATAAAAACGCACGAATTAGTCGTGTAGATATTCTCAAAACATTTCCTAAAACATTTCTTGTCAAAAGTTTCGGCAGATTTTTTCTCCAAAAATAAATTCGATTTTTGAAACATCCGTTTTTGATCTACTTTTTTCAAAAGCATCTGAAAAATTTTATAAAACTAAAATATATCTATATTATAAAAAGGGCTTTCATTTAAAACGAAAAGGCTGCAAATTTATAGGACTCCATTAACATTCCAACTTGCGCTTATTCTAAGACTCGAAATTATTCTGCTGTTACTAGGGGCAAAATATATCACTTTGAAATTGACATTGCGCGAGGAATTAAAACTTCCGATTGTTTTAAATTGCAGGTATTTGTCTATTAAATTGGCTTAAATAAAATTGGCTGAGTCCTAAAATAATTCCATATATAAAATTTTATTTGAGTTTTGTGGTAGTGATTGTTTTTGAAAACGTTTTTGTAAACCACTTCATCAAAAGCATGAGAAATCTTATTAAATGCTGAAGAAAATGACTCTTTGAAGTCTGTAATCCTGAACGCTTTTGCGCTATTGGTTACAAAAACGTTTTTCTGCACACTGATCAATTCATTTTTTGGGGGAGGTGTCAAGGTATTGGTGGCTTCATTCAAGATGTCTTGATGACATTTAGGATGCGGAACCTGCTGCACTTTTGACTTCATCTCGCGCAGCTGGTACAATCGTGCTAACCTGTTCCTGATGTACGTGTTTGGGTTTCTGTTTCCACTCATTATATGCATCTACTGCTACCTGCAAGTGTTCCTCACAGTCAAAGGCAGTGGAGCTGCAAACAAAAACGATGCGAAGGTGCACCATTTTGACATTTTGGATCGCAATAATTGTGATCAGTCACACTTCGACCCAGTAGAGGATGTAGAGAGCGGGACGCGGACACCTCCTCATATGGCCAACTCCATAGAATTTGACCTCATAGCCGCACAAAATGCAATCAAACATAAGTGTTGCAAATTAAGTCGTGTATGGAGCTAATAAAACGAATTAGCTGCCTCAATTTGAAACGATTTTGTTGTACGGGATAGCAAAACAAGCAATTTCAACCGTACTCTTGGCAGGTCACTATGGTGGTTTGCATACTCAGCTGGTTATTCTCAGATCAAGAGATTAATTCACTGATGGACCAGCGTTTTAAAAAAATGGTTTGAATAAAAAAAACGGCTCCGATCATATATATTCCTCATTTTATTCGAAAGTCAGAACAATTCGTCTCTGATAAAGAAAAAATCGTATCGACAAACAGCCTGTAGTGTTGTTTGCTGAACCAAATTTCACCGAGTTAGAGTTGCACCACCTCGTTTTAAAAACGAAACATGCAAAGTGTTACAATTTACCCACAACAATTAGGGACTAATGTGACTCAATTATAAAAAAAGCTAGCTGAAAAATTTGTTTTTTTTTCTGCACAGCTTTTTATGACAAAAATGTAATGTTTGAAAACTGATAGCCTTCGAATAATTTTTATACAAAAGATAATTAAAATGTATTATGACTAGCACAATCAGTAAATCATTGGGATCTACTTAACAATATCTCCCTGCAGGGTATCTACTAAAGAATCTGAATAAAAAAGTAAATTAGCACTAGAGCGTTCTACTCAGAAAAACTGTTGGGCAGTGGACCCGTTCTCAGAGATTTTTAGATTAGGTTTAAAATTTCTGATACAACAATTATTAGCACATTATACTGCATTTTCTCTTTGCGTTCAAACATTTCCTAGTTTTTCAATAATTTTTTGTCATAATTAACTTGTGATCTATGCATGGACACTATTTTCAGCTCCTTTGCAAGAGCAGTTTAGTAAAAAGTACGATTATCTAACTCTCCGAACCTAGTTTTTCAAAAAAATTAAAATCGAAAATTTTGTAGTGTATTGATTTTAAGTCCGGGGTGGCTCACTCATAGAGTAAATTCAGATAAAGTCAACCGTCTGTTCGTCATGCTATCTTGTTTTCGGACGGATAGATTCTTTCAGCTTCATAGTCTAATACCAATCTTAATCTTACTCTTATATCTCCTAGTCTCAACAGATCTAGTGTATACTGGTATTTGCGAGTTAGATATCAGAAACTATCTTGAAGGAGAACAACTGCCTTCTAGGTTATATTTATTTTGTTCTGTTGCTGAAACTATGAATAGTTTCAGCGTTACAAATAATTATAAGTGTCAGTTATGGATTATGATTGGTTAGTTAAAAATATAGTTTTATCAATAATGTAATTGGATATAAATAATAGTTTTAAACTGGTTCCACCCATCCGGGATTCAGAGAGTTTTAAGTTTTAATGATTATTGCAGTGAAGGATGGATAGAGAGATTTCTTGTTTCTCTAGTAGTTTCTTTTTGAAGCATTGGCTGCGTGAGAGAAGAGGGGAGACAGTTGTTCATGTTTTGAAGTAGATGTCCTCATCGACAGAAGGGGGACAGGTGTTTGTGCTTCAGAAGTGGTTCTCGTATATCCTAAATCTTTTCGAGTCATCGGTTCAAGATTTCAGATCTATACAATGATGCATTGATTTCTTTAAGCTAGAGCGACACTACGTGCAAGATGGAGTTTGACATCTTTTGTGTGAAACGACAAGTGACTAGTATCAGTATGTGATGCCAACATAGAGATGGCCATTGTTCTTCTGCAATGGGTTCCTTTGCTGCCATGTTGCGTCCATACTTCAAATCCTGTGAGGGTTGTAACATAGGCAACAAACCGATAGATTTGTCATTCGAAACTCGGAACGTCGTCGAGTTTTCATCTCCTTTTGCTGCTCGTTCTTTTTGCTCCAATAAATCTTTTACATTGCATATATATATATCTATATCTTGTTGGTGAGATCATTTTTGTTTATGGTATAAATAAGTTGTTTTCGCGAAAATGTTTTTATTTAGTTTCGGTTATTTTAAAGAGTTTCTCACCCTGGAGCCACTCTTAGCGAAAATTGAGGATCGGGGTCGTAGCACATGGTGCGCGCATGTACTTCGAGAGACGTCGTTCTGGTGGGTTAGGCCAAAAGGGAGTATAAATTAACCGTCTCTTTGAGCAGAGTATCTTTTCGTGTCCATCTTTTTGTTCCATTTCATCAGGTGTTTTTCTCTTTTTTGCTTTTCGTTGCCCTTTTATCAAAAACAAATTGGTAGATTTGTGTTTTTCTTTTGAGTTTTTAAGGTTTCAAGTGGTTGTAATAAAATTTGAAAGTGGGTTTCAAAAGAATGATTAATCCAGTTTTAATTTGGGTTTAATTTGATTTGAGTACCGTGGGACTTTCTAATACATGTGGTTAGTTTTTAAACATTAGTAAACTGTGTTGGTTAGTTTAAGCTTACTTGTAATTCCTCCAACCGGCTTAAAGGAACATTTGAAACTAGTGAAAACAAGTTAGAGTTATTATCAGTTAGTTCCTGAAACTAGAATTTATTTATTACTCATTTTTGTGTATGATTTACTCATTTTTGTGTAAAGATTGCGTAAAATGTTGGCGAGTAAATGGGAGATCTTCAAAAATTACAAAGAAGCACGCAAACTAAAAGTTTAGTTATCTTCAATTTATTTTGCGTTATAAATTTACTACTTCATATTTGAATTTTATTAAAGAATTATCAAATTATCGCAATTTGTATTAAATTTACTTCGCCAAAATTATTTTTTGACATGGTGAAGAATAAATTGAAAAAATTTAAGTAGATTTTTTTTTAATCTTTAGATGAGTGCCTGGTGAAATCCAAATCTGAAATGTAAAACACAAGTGAAGGAATGGTGAGTATCTTATTGGTTTGTGTTCAGGATAAAATTCATGGGGAAGTTAGTTTTAAGGATGTCGGATGTTACTAAAAGCTTGGTATTATACTTTTAGTGCGAAGCAGTCGCCAAAAAAGTTCAAGCGCTCTGATGATATCTATTTTTCGGTGGTAGCTGAAAACTCTTGATTAGTATTTTGGATAAGGTTATAAACTTTTGTGATTAAATTTAGTACAGTGGATTTTTTTTAGTAGTGCTACTTCACTTCAAATGGATGTATATACTCTTGGGGAATGATGAAGAGTCGTCTGGTGGGAAAATGTTGGTCAGTGGTGTTAAAATATGTACATCTGTCGAATAGGATCATAAATTTTGAGGATGCCATGCAAGTTAGTTGATTTGATGCAATTTGTGAATTTTAAGAAAAAGGGTGATGTGTATTTTCAATTTGTGAACATAAAACGCTGGTTTGGATTACGGGATGATGAAATATGTGTGTAGTGTCTTTGTATAAATTTATACTATGTGTACCTTTGGGTTAGTTTTGTTTTATCCATGTTTTCGTGTGAACAGTAAGAATTTATTTCCTCTGGTGTGAGGAAGTTAAATGCTGGTGCGAAGTGATCGATTTTATGAAAGAACGGCTCATAGGTCTTAGTGTTTTTTTTGTGCGTGATCTATAATATGATCGAGTTTTTTGTTATTGCTGTCAAGATGGAAAATATATTCTGATTTCATGAAAAACTTTTCAGTTAAATGAGGGTTACTGTTTGGATCATCGTCATACGGGGAATTTTTCATATACCTGGTGACAGCGTGGTCATAATGGTTAACGTAAAATCGGTTTCCTTTGGGTGCTACGAATTTGTTTAGTGTTTGGTTTAAACCAATAGTGGTGAATCGATTTCATGCAGTGAATGCGATGATCAGGTGTTGAATGTTGGTGTTAAAATATATATATCTGTAGAATAGGATACTAAATTCTGAGGAAGCCATGCAAGTTAGTTGATTTGATGCAGTTTGTGAAGTTTAAGAAATAGCGTGATGTGTATTTTGAGTTTATGAGCATAAAACGACGGTTTGGATTACGCGATGATGAAATGTGTTTTTAGTGTATTTGTTTAAGTTTTTACTATGTGTACTTTTGGGTTACTTTTGTTTTTAACATGATTTCGTGTGAACAGTAATTATCTCTTTCTTCTGTTGTGAGGAAATTAAATGTTGGTGCCAATTGATCAAATTTATGAAAGAACGGGTCAGAGATTTGGTGTTTTTTTGTGCGTCATCTATAATATGGTCGATTTTTTGCTATTGCTATCAAGATGGAAAATATATTCTGATTTTATAAAAAAAATTTCAGTTAGTTGAGGGTTAATGTTTGGATCAATGTCATACGGGGAGTTTTCCATATACATGGCGACAGCGTAGTCATAATGGTTAAGGTAAAATTGGTTTGCTTTGGGTGCTACGAATCTGTTTAGTGTTTGGCTTAAACCGATACTGGTGAATTGATTTTCATGCAGTGCGATGATTAGGTGGTGAATGATGATATCACAAAGTTCGTTGTCGACGGGATTGTTTTTCAATGGAATTTTTAGTGGGTTAGTAAAGTTGTAATAGAAGATCCAGGATAGTGTAGGGATTAGGGTATGCTCATCGACGTATGGTGTATGTGGGTTTTCATTTTCGGAATTGTAGTATATATATTGGGGGGAAAATGTTAAATTTTGAGTAAGGAAATCTGGGGTATTAGTGATGTGAGGATGATGACTATATAGTCGGGATGATCTTGGGAGACTAATAACAAACTGAGGTGCAGTTTTAGAGTGGTTGCGTTTCATGAAAACTCTTTGGGCTCGTGTGGGTGCAATGTCAACTGAGGGAGTAGATGATTCGGGAGCCAGAGCTGAATGAGTCAGTTGGTGAACTGTTAATTGTGTCGTGATTTTGTTGTCGATTAGTTATAAATTTATCTAAATCTTGCTCAAGTTTATCGTCTGTGATAGGACTGGGTGCATCGGGTTCATTACTTGACAGATGAAGAAGATGAAGGTAGCGTCAG